CATCAATATAGTTACCATGACTGGAAACATCAAAAATAACATACAATTAAGGGTATAGATAAACTTTTGTATGGAAAACTTCTTTCTATGTTAAAGGTAGAACTTCCTATTAAACAGGTTACTGTATTGAAGTTTTCTGATACCTCAATTACATAACTTTAAGTTGGGTCTAGGCAGCAAAATTCAGAATGCCACTCATTCCCATCACTTATTCCCTACTTCATCAAAAGAATATCTGAATATAGCCATCATAAACCCAAAAACAGAATGAAAGAAAAACATTCTAACAACAAAGACTACTGAGTTTAAACTATATACAATTTGAATACAAACTTACAGACTTATTCAGTGGGGGATCATGTGAACAGATAGATCTAGATATTAGGCTTATGCTAAATCCCCAAGTTAAAAAACATACCAGTGGTCATAATTAAGTAACCAATTGAACCAGGGATCAAGTTAATACTCAAATATACTGCTCACTTCTATTTGAAGCTGCTTCATCTAGATCAGAGAATTTACATGTTGTACGTGTAACTTCAATATGTAACAACAGCCAGAGAAGTACAGCCACTCAAAAGTGCCACAAAAGTCAGTTATTTAATTGAAGTGACCTAAGAAATTAGAACGAATGTGTAACAAATCCTGTGTTTCCACAGTACCTTATCACAGCTCTAATACACTCTAATCACAGCGTCATCTGTGTGTGTGTTTCTCTCTGTCTCTCCCCCTGCCCCACACTGCAGGTTTGGAGGCACTGTGCTGAGATACCATCCCCAACACCTTGCACAATGCCCGGAACACAGAAGGCACTCAGTATCTGTTGAATGAAAAAACTATTAAGCTATCTGAGCTCACCAAAATTGTGAGACCCATCAAAGAAGCCAGTTTTTCCAACTAACCCTTAACACCTCCTCAAAGAAGCTACTACTAACCAAGGTGTAAGAGTAATACTTAGATTACCATGAAACAGCATTTCTTGAAAAGCACAGAAAGAATGGACCACATTGGTTAAAGATCAAAAATTTACAAGTTACCTCATTGTAAGATGTTGAGTAGCACACACACAGAAAATGACACATTCACACCTCTCAAGCCCAAGTAATGTGACAATCTTGGATTGATGAAGGTTTTAAATAAAACATCATAAATACACTTTACAGACTATATTAAAATCTTAAATGTAGGCTGGGCGCGGTGGCTCATGCCTGTAATCCTAGCACTCTGGGAGGCCAAGACAGGAGGATCACTCAAGGCCAGGAGTTAGAAGCCAGCCTGAGCAAGAGTGAGACCCCATCTCTACTAAAAGTAGAAAGAAATTAATTGGCCAACTAAAAACACACAGAAAAAAATTAGCCGGGCATGCTTGTAGTCCCAGCTACTCGAGAGGCCCAGGCAGGAGGATCACTTGACCCCAGGAGTTTGAGGTTGCTGTGAGCTAGGCTGACGCCATGGCACTCTAGCCCAGGTAACAGAGTGAGACTCTGTCTCATAAATAAATAAATAAATAAATAAATAAATAAATAAATAAATAAATAAATAAATTCGTAAATGTTTTACATATTGTACCAAAATCACCAAAATCATCCTAGGAGTGCAAAAGGCTGGACTAGCGGGTACATAAGGCTGCATAGGAAGTCATAACATTACTTAGCTTCATATCTGTCCATTAATGGGGGCTTGATCTTATTTTATGCCCCTACAACAAAAATAAAAACAGTAAACAAGAAGGAAAAGTAGGTGGCATGAAAAGCAGTCTGGGGGTGCATCCAGGAACGATCTGCTGAGCTGCAGATTTGGAGAACTGACAAGACTTTGCAGAGGCAGATTTTTCATACTCTACCATGTAACTAACCAAAAAGTCCAGTGTAACGAAGCCATGCAATGGCTTATAATTAACCATTTCTTTCTGAGTGACTGAGAAGTTTTAACAAAATATGGCATAGAATCTATATACATATCCTGTGAGTATTCTTGCAACAGGACCCATGAGAAACCTCTCCTATATTAGAAAGGAGAAAGAAACAAACTCCCTTACAGAACACCTTCAAATGTATTATTAAATGATTACCAGAATGACTGACAGGACTTAAAAGTTCACTAGAACTATGAGCCAAATCTTCTCCCCTATAATCTATCAGAATGGTCCACCCAAATTGCTCTTCATCATTTAAAAAATGTGTTTAAATTCAACTATGAATATGAATAGTGTTCACTGTCATCGTTTTACTCACCTTACTAACACCAACTCCAGTAAACCTGGCCTCTAATAATTCCTGCCGTCGTGGGTCCAGGCTATGCAATTCTTCCATCATTTCTACAGAAAAAGAAAAAGTAAGCTGTGAAACCATAAAACGAAAATGTGAGGAACCAACTTTATTTATGACAAAACTCACAATAATGATTTCACTGAATGGTCTCATACAGGTAAACTTCAAGTAAATATAGCATATAAGTGGTAAACTACAATGTGCTGCACCAGATAGTAACACATTTAAAGTCACAAAGCAGCTCAGAAGTCCTCTTCAATAAGGGCCATTTATTCTTCCCTAGTTCTGATTTAACAGCAAAATAAACCAACAACAACAACAAAACACACACACAAAACCTCAAACCCTTCATATAACCTCTGTAAAAGTTGCACAGGAGGAAAAACAAAACAACGGCTAGCTTGCAAAAAGAAAAATTTCTTCTTCTATCAACCTTTTAATTTAGCTAAATACTTTCAGATATTTCTTTCCCAAATACACTGGAACTAGTTCTTAAACTAAAAATATGAATCATTAATAATTTCAAAAGAATATAGCATGAATCAGAAGCTACAAATAACTTCAAATAACATTATATAGCTCCTTTCTCTAAAGAGCTCACAGTAGCTCATGAAAAAAGGAATTAATTATTTTAAATTTAATAGAGAACCCATGGTAAAACTCATCAACCTGCATTCACTCAGGAAATTAATATAGCTCCACAACAATCCCTTTACAAAATATTTTTCTGACCACTCCCTGGAGCAGTAGGTTTCTCTGGACATCTGCTTTTAGCAGTCCTTCCAAGCAGGGAGGGGCAGAAGGACACCATTTTTAAACTCCTTCCACAACCAATTAATGTACAGGCTACTTTCAGCAAATATGTCCATCCTTTGCAAGAGATCAACTCTTGCACCACCCACTGAAAGCCTCTCTTTTAATATTATAAGTGGGAAAGGAGCATGTATCATTACATAGAACCCCTTCAAACATATTAAGTAGCTATTGGAATGATTGGCGTGATTTTGAAGTTCAGTGAAAACGTTAATCAAACATTCTCCTCTGCAATCTAACAACTCCACAATCTCCAGTAACAACCCCCTACAAGTCCTCCAGTTTCATTTCCCTCCCTGGATCGAGAGCCTGGGGCAAAGGGGAATGAAAGGGTGACAAATTAAAGTTTCACCTACACTTACAATTGCAGGTTAGAAAGGGAATGAGCAAATTTTCAGAAGGGTTGAAAGGTATATCTTTTAAAAAAGAAAAAGAAAAAGGGAGACAGAGAGTGAGTGGCCTTCCTCTCGTCTCGCCCTGCCCTAATCGAGGTCGGAATGGCAGAGGTTGCAGTCTCTCCCAAACCCCAAGGTCTCTCACAACATTTCCCAAACCTCCATCCCCAGGCCCGGCACAGAAAATGACGCCCCAGCGGTTATTCCATTTAATGTCAACTCATGTTAAGGAAATATCCACCCTGTCTCATTCCAGCGGGGCCTTGAACTGGGATCCTCCCTGTAGCCCACAGCCGGGAAGCAGGACCGATGGGGCCTGGCCCCGCGCCCCTCACCGACTCCAAACTTTCCCCAACTCCAGGCCCACCTGTCACGGAGGAAGGGAGGGCCAGCTCTCGGGAGCGCCCGGGAGGCTGCCGGGGCCTCCAGCTGCCGGGGCGCCCCCCTCTCTCCGCCGGTCGCCGGCCCCACTCCCAGGCCAGGGCCGCCTGGGCCTCCCCCATCTTCGGCCCGGCCCCTCGGCGACCCGCAGCCCTCAGGAAGCCCCTCCCGCCTCAGCGCCAAGAAGCTGCGGTCCGGCGCCGGCCTCAGGGTGGGCCTGGGTCGCAGGCTCCTCAGGCCGAAGGGGTCCCCAGGACGGTTAATGCCGCAGGCCCGGCGCCCTCCCCCGCCTGGGGCTCAGCCTCTCACCTGCCGCCGCCGCCGCCGCTCCACGCTCCTCCAGGGAGGGGCCCCGACCCGACCCGGCTGCGGGCCGCTCCGCTCTCCCCTTGGGCAGGCCCGGGGCGGAGCCGGGGCCTCTCCTGAGCGCCGCAACCCCCCGCCCGGGCAGCCGCCGCCGGCGCCGGGCTCCACGAGAGGGCGGGCGGGGGAGGGGGGCCGCGGAGGCCGCAGATCCCCGGGCTCGCGTACAGAGCCAGGCGCCCGACGCGGGCCCGGGCCCGGGCGGCCGCGGGGGGCGCGGGACCGGCCTCCTGGCGCCGGACAAAGGCCAAGGGAGGCACAGAAGGGCCCAGGCCGGGCCGGGAGGTGGGGGCCCGCTCGGCTGGGGGCCACTCGAGTGCGGCGCGGAGGGCGGGGGGGGGGTCGGAACCGCTGGTGCCCAAGACCCGCCTCCGGCCCCTTAATCCGGATCGGTTCGGTCCGGATTAGTAGTGATCGGTGTAAACACACTAGTGAAACCGCGTGTTTCCTCGCGAGATTTGCACGGCTGGGAGGTGGGGGGTGTCCTGGGGGGGTGGGGGAAGCGCCGACAGTGGGGGAGGAGGGGGAGGGGACGAGGAAGGTGGGGGGCTCCCCACTGCCCCGGCGCCCCGCCTCCTCCAATCAGCGGCCGTGCTGGCGGGCAGGGGTTAACCAGGGGACCCCGCGCCGGCAGAGGAGGCCGCGCCTCGCCGGGCGGCTGAGGGCGGGCGACGCGCGGCGCTGGCTGGCTGGCCGCGACGCGAGGGGAGGTCGGGCGGCCTGGGGGCGCCCCGCGGCTGCCCCGGCCCGAGTCCCGGAGCCCCCGCCGCCGCCTTTGTGTAACCGGCCCCCGCCCCGTGGGACCGGCCCGGCCAGGGCAGCCGGGCTGGCGCCCCGGGCCGCGGACCCGCGCTGGAGGGGCCCGGCTACCTGAGCCCGGCCTTTCCCGGACCCGCCTCGCCGAACCCCCGCGCCTGCCTAATCCCTCGTCTCCGCGAGTTTGGGTGAGAAGTAGGGTTGCTCTGCCCAGGGATGGATTGTAGAGGAAGAAACCCGTGAGCCGGCGGACCCCGCCCGGACCTCCCGGAGACGCCCAGTTAGTGAGTTCGCTGTGCCCACCCGTGTTCTCGGGTTCCCACGGCCGCCACTCTCCAAAGCCGCCCTCCCGCTCCCAAACCTCCACTTGGTGCCCCGGAGAGCAGGCTGCACTTTCCCTCTACATACCTGGTTGGCAGGGCGTCTCCTGGGACAGACTGTGCCCTGGGATCAAAGCTGAGCCCCCACCCCCACCAGGATGCTGCCCTCCGGAAGGAGGGGCGCTGCCCCCAAGGGACTGTCCCCGGGCACCCAGAGGGAGGTTCCATTTCTACATCAGATTAAAAACATGGCCCTCCTGGGTACTTACGGGGGTCTGAGGGTAGGTGCTCAAATGAAAAAAACAGGCCTGCCCCTCACAGAGTGTCTACCGAGGAGTGAGAAATATGAAAGGGTGAGCTCTTGTGGGCAAGGAGGGCTTCCTGTGTAGGACAGGGCTCCCACTCTGATCTCCTAGCGCCAGGGAGAACAATCACATTCTTCACTGACTCCCTCCAGCCAGGACACTGACTTCAATGCAACTACCCAACTTATTATTTTCCTCTGATGCTTCCTTTATCAGATGTCTGAAGATGACTTAAGGACTACAGTGGAATCACAAGGGGGAAAATTCACACCTTAAATACCAGCGTTGAATTTTTCCAGGGGTAGGCAAATGCTCCAAGTGGAGTTTCTGCCCTTATTTCTTTCTTATTACTTATTAATTCTTCCCTATGTTAACAGAACATTGACCTGCCCAAAGGACAAATGATGGCAGTTTACTTTTTGTTAGTTCTCCAACCTTCCAACCCCATGGGGCAAATTCAAGCACTGTGGAAAAACTCCATTGAACCAAGAATCATCTTCCTCTGGGTGGCAGACTGGTTGGGAAGTTGGACCCACATATTTCCAAAGAGAACAGTGTTCTGAAGGACAAGGCGAGAGGGTAGGAAAAGGGGAAAGGTGGAGGACTACAATGGAATCCAGCCTCCAATGCATGATAGGGACAGAGCAGGAGAAGCAAAGAGCTGATGGTGTGCCTTCAAAAGAAAAGCAAATGAAGCAAGTTCTTTCATTGTAGCCAATGATCAAGAAGGTAACTCCTTAAAATGACATTGGAATGTCTTCAATTGAGAGAGAAGAGTTTAAGAGAAAAGCACTGGACATAGAGTCAGAGCTGACGTCCAGCCCAGCTCTTCCACAGACAAGCTGCGTGGGACTGTTACCTAATTAACCTTTTCAAGCTTTGCCAACCTCATCTGTGAAGAAGGGGTCTGGACTAGAGGATTTCCAGAGTACTTTGCAGGTCTAAAAGATTATAAGTCTGTTTTTAAAAGTAATTAGTTAAAATAATCATTGGAACACAGGGAGAGATGAGATTTTTAGTTTCACATTTCCTACTTCATTTTTCTCTACATGTCAAAGAACCTATACCGTAGCACAGCCCTCTAGAAGCAATGCCCATCCAGTAGGAATTGCTCATAGCAAATAATGGGTTTGCTGACATCAGAGATTGGGTACTTTTAGTTATAATAATCATATAAGTGGAAATATCAACAGTAAGGCAAGAGAATATAGATGATAGGGCTTGCCCTTGCCCAGAGAAAGAAGGATATAGTCAAAAGAAATTCTGTTGTCAGATGTCCTCTTAATAATATGATATAACCTTGGGTTGATAAATCAACTTGTTTAAAGCATGTTTGATCACTTAGCATCTTTGTGAGACTCATCATGGAATGGCAAATGGTGACATGCCCCATGCAAAGGCCCTGTTCCATCAACCATGGAGTACACAAACATGATCGAACTGCATGTTCACATTGGTCATCTGGTCCTTTCTGCCTTCAGGAGCGTGCATGACAAGTCCCTGATTCATGCTCCTAATGGACCACAGAGCTGGCTGGATATGCATCAGACTAGTTTTTATGTTCCCCAAGGTGTGCTCTGCAGGTTTTGATACACTGATAATTCTTCAAAGGGAGTAAAGGTTACATTGGGCAAGCAACATAGGGGGAGCTCAGGGTTAAAGTTAAGTGGAATCCTTTATTGCACTACCTCTCAGAGCCTATAACGTGTAAGATGCATGTGTCAATCTCCAACAGGAGGATCTGGGTATTTGGTTCTTTCCTATGATTTGATTTCAGAACAACCGCCCTGGTTTGTGGTTGCTTGGTTGGTTAGTTTTAGGATACTTCAAGAGAGAGGTAATCTATAGAAGACACTGTGTAAAAACCCTCTTTTGCTTTTTCACCTGTACCACACTAAAAATTGTCTAGCAATTGCTTGAATGTTCTGTGATATCTACCATCTTCATCAAAAAGTGCTCACAACACCATGCATTGTTGCTCCTCTAGTCCTTTTCTAAAAGGAGCCTGCAGTGTGGTGGCTAGGACAGACTTCCTACTCAAGGTCCTTGGCTTTCATATTGGACCTGCTTCTTACCAGGGTTGTAGTCCGAAGCAAGATACTTAACTTCTCATGGTCTCCATTTCTTTGTCCATAAAATGGTGTTACTACCTCAGAGAATTGTTGGAGGATTAAATGAGATAGTATATATGCTTGACATACTAATCCCTGAAGTAATGGTCTCCGAACATAAAAGTTGTATTTCTGCCAAGGATTTATACATTTGTCATTAGAATGATTTGGCAGCATACAGTTTAACTTTGGCAACCAGGCTGCCAAGGTACTGAGTCAATTAGTGGTACTATTTTCTTCATAACAGAAAAAAGACTTGATGTCTTCTTAATGAAAGCTTTATATTTGGGGGAGGGGGATGTAAAACATAAAAGTCACCTAGCCTTTTTGTATTCTTCCTCCACCCCTGAGAAAGGATTTGTAATGGTATGAAGAAATAGGAGTTTGGTTAATGTTCCCATTATGTTTGGTGAATGTTTCCATTATAAACTATTCCAGGCCGGGCACAATGGCTCACACCTGTAATCCTAGCACTCTGGGAGGCCGAGGCGGGTGGATTGCTCAAGGTCAGGAGTTCGAAACCAGCCTGAGCAAGAGTGAGACCCTGTCTCTACTATAAATACAAAGAAATTAATTGGCCAACTAATATATATATATAAATTATCCGGGCATGGTGGCGAATGCCTGTAGTCCCAGCTACTCGGGAGGCTGAGGCAGTAGCATTGCCTGAGCCCAGGAGTTTGAGGTTGCTGTGAATTAGGCTGACACCATGGCACTCACTCTAACCTGGGCAACAAAGCGAGACTCTGTCTCAAAATAAATAAATAAATAAATAAATAAACTATTCCAGGTGGGCTAGTATAGAACACAAGTCACAGGGTATTTGTGGTCTGACAGAACTGGGTTCCAGTTCTGCCCCTTCCTTCACCTCTCAGGTTCCTCATCTGAAAACTAGCCAGCATATCTAATTCATAAGGGGCTTTCATCAAAACTGAAATAATATTGGGAAATGCCATGTAACCATGCCTGACATGGAGTAGGCATTAAGTCAGTGTTCTTTCCTCTGTCCTCGCCATTCCTAACAAAATGGAAAAGTGTGTGGTTGCCAGGAAAGTGCACTAAGGACTAACAAAAACCAATGAAACCAGATCTTGGCCTTCATAAAATTCTCTGCTGGTCTCCTATCTCTGTGTGTGCTTTCACATCCTCCTCCTGGCCCGCTTGGTTCAGCAGCTCTTAAGCAAGTCTCCTTGACACAGTTTTATTTATCAAGTCACACATTCTTCCCCACAGCCTACTGATGCTGGAACAATCTTCCCTTTCTACTGGAGAGCAACCTCACCTCACTCCCCAGTGTTACTTCCTTTAAATAATGTGCCTTCTTCCCAGCAGCTTCAATGTAACACAGGAGCAAAAAAGATTAAACTCCACTTCAATGTAACAAGGCTCCTCTTCTCTGTTACTGAATCCTCCACATTGGTCTCTCAGAAAGAAAACTTCAAAGATAGGGACAACAGCAAACACTATAGTGGTGGAAACTGACAAAGTATATATTTTTAAATCTCAGTTTTTCCATTGACTTCTCATATTAGGCTTGAGTAATGAGTCTTCACATACACTGACACAGGGCATGGGGAACGGGGGGCCCTGAGCCCACAGAGAAGGAAGAAGGGGGTCACGGGCGAGGGGCAGGAGGCTTGGGGATGGATGGGTGTGACTTTATAAAGAGTGTGAGCAGCTCTAAAAGTTTCCTGAAGAAATATAAGGGTTGTGGCTTTCAAATAGTTTTGAATATTACTGGACAAGGAAGACAGGAAGATTGAAGGGAGAAAAAAAGGTAGAAGGGGAGAGGGAGACAAATGACCTGATGCTCTGTACCTGGCACTGGGCTAGGGCCTTGCACATTGCAGTGAGCCTTGACCTTCCCACAAAAGCAGGCTGCTCTGCCCCTTACTAAACCACACAGCTGTGGGGGATTCCAGTAAGACCAAAATGGATCAGTGGGGGACGTTTAGACAGGAGCCAGGCACAGTAGCACATGCCTGTAGTCCCAGCTACTTGGGAGGCTGAGGCAGGAGGATCATGGGAACCCAGAATTCAAGGCCAGGCTAGGCAACATAGCAAGACCCATTCTCTAAAAAAAAAAAAAAAAAATCTAGTAGACTATTCTCCTTAGCATGGAAGGTCTCTAGTCATTTGGCAGAATCAGGCTCTGCAGGGCATATTGTCTCTGTTTCAACTATCAGCTCTGCTGGTTAGAAATTTGAAGGAAAGTAGCCACACACAATATGTGAAGGAGTATGACTATGTTCCAATAAGACTTTATTTACAAAAACAGGCTGCTAGTAGCTAGCAGCAGGGTAGTTTGTCAACTTCTGCAGGATTCTCAAACTTTAGCTTGCATCAGAATCACCTGGAGGGCTTGTTCAAACACAGATTACTAGGCCCCACCCCTAGAATTTCTGATTCAGCAAGTCAAGGGTGGAACCTAACATTTGCATCTCTAACAACTTTCCTGGTGAGGCTGCTGGGTTTTGTTTTTGTTTTTGTTTTTTTGAGACAGAGTCTCGCTTTGTTGCCCAGGCTAGAGTGAGTGCCATGGCGTCAGCCTAGCTCACAGCAACCTCAAACTCCTGGGCTCAAGCAACCCTGCTGTCTCAGCCTCCCGAGTAGCTGGGACTACAGACATGTGCCACCATCCCCGGATAATATATATATATGTATATATTAGTTGGCCAATTAATTTCTTTCTATTTATAGTAGAGACGGGGTCTCGCTCTTGCTCAGGCTGGTTTTGAACTCCTGACCTCAAGCAATCCACCGGCCTTGGCCACGCAGAGTGCTAGGATTATAGGTGTGAGCCACCACGCCCAGCTGAGGCTGCTGTTGATGGTGGGGAAACCACTTTGAGAACCACCGAAGCCTTTCTCACCTCCTTTATACACCTAAAATCCTTTATTTCTACTGTAAATAGAGCATTTATCATGTTATGGTTAGTGGTTAGTGTGTGGTTCTCCAGGATCCTTTCTAAATCACCTCTCTAGCCTAGAGCCTGACAGCAAAATGCTCAGCATTCATTGATTGAACTCAAAGAGAAGGTCATGGTCATCCTCAGCATTCAAAGCCTTGGGAGATGAAGATGTGAACCGCCCAAGTTCACAGAGCTCATAAGGGTAGAGCTTGGACTGGGTCCTGCCCTGCTCTGTAGTGGACATTTCTCTCTGGAGCTCTGGGCAACCTGGAGCCAGACCCCACCCCCGGTCCAGAAACATACCAGGAGGGAGACAGTCCCTGCTTAGACTAAACCTTGAACCTGGACTATTTCTCAAGGAAACAAAACGAGGGTGGGTAGAGGGTTTGGTTTGCTCAATTTCATTATTTTTTGCTCCTAAGTGGACTATTTTACTTTGTAGTGTGTGAGTTGGGGGTTGAAATCCAGATAGCTATCTGCCATGGAAAGCCACTATTTCCAAGTTACAGGGTATTTCAAGTGACCTGCAGTCAGGATGCTTTTGGAATAATATTTGAGTCCTTTCCACATTTTTCTTTTTTAAAGAGACAGTCTCACTCTGCCACCCAGGCTGCGGTGCAATTGTGTGATCATAGCTCACTGCAACCTTGAACGATCCTCCTTGCCTCTGCCTCCTAGGTAGCTAGGACTATAGGCACACAACACCGTGCCTACCTAATTTTTTTATTTTTCGTAGGAGGGGTGTGGGGAGGTGCGGGGGGGTGGGATTCTCACTACGTTGCCTAGAATGGTCTTGAACTCCTGACTTCAAACAATCCTCCCACCTCAGGCTCCCAAAGCACTAGGAATACAGGCAGGAGCCACCTCACCCAGCCCTTTCTCCACCTTGAGTGGCATGAACCACAACTCCTGGGTCCACCTCCCTCTTCGAAACTTACTACCCACCTCCTGGTTTTTATCCTGAGGACACTGCAAGTAGAGCCAGGCATGTGACCCATGCATCTTCCCCCACCCCTCTCTGATGGTGGGCACAGAGGAGGTGCTGTCAGGAACTCGCCAGAGACAGGTGGCTGCTTCATGATGCGCTGACTGCAGACCGCAGGTGTAACAATCACTTTCCTCTTCATGCCCCCCAGACCTGTCTGAAGGAGACTTAAAGAGGAATTTCTTTTATTTGTGAAGTTTTAAGATCATAACTACCTAACCTTTCATGCCTCACTCTTTCCAAATTAATAGAGGAAACCAGGAATAAGGAGGCCTTCCTCTCCCCATCTTGATGGGCTCAGTGAGGACTGCCAGAGGGCCAGACAGCATTTGCTCCTCATCTGGATTTGCGTGCGGAAAGCTGTGACCCAGCAACCTAAGCACAGAGAAGTTAGCACCGCGAAGGCGCAGGGCCGAACCCTCGGTGGCTTGGAACGCCTGATGTTCCCTGCTGCCGCCACCTCGTTAGCCCTGCCTGCCAATCAGTTTTGCATCAATAAACTTTATGTTCCTAGCTTGGCCAGATGAATGAGAGGAGAGCAGCTAAAGACTGATCTCTGACCTTGGCACGTAAACAGCCTACAGATTGGACTTGACAGTTAATAAAGGAAAGGCCCAGCAATTCTCTGATGCCTTTTTGCCTTAATTAGATTGAGCATTCAAAGGCTATGGGGAAATCTTCCATTTGAAGAGAAAGACCCCACAAGACAGGAAGTCACTTCCCCACTCCTTACTTCATTCAGACTGTCAATCACTCAGTCAACAGTTGCTGACAGTCGTCAAGTGCCCTATTACCTGTGCTCAGCACTGTGTTAACCGCTTTCGAGTAAAGCAGCTGCATGAATTCCGGAAGTCCACACCTGCTCTGTTGGAAGACTGTGTCCAGCCAGGCGGTCAGGAGCACATGCTTCAGTTTAAACAAATCTGAGCTTGAATCCTGATTCTGCTGTGTGACTTTTGGCAAGTTATTTAACCTCTCTGCCCTCAGCTTCCTCTTGAGGTTAATAATACCAACCTCCACGGGTTGTCATCAAGACTAAGTGAGACCATCTGTGTAAAGCAGCCAGCACAGAGCCTGGCGCTTGGCAGGCATGCCACAGCTGTGCACTTGGCTAGCTGGGCGGACTCTTCCGAGCTGAGCAGCAGCCTCCCTTCCCCCTTCCTTGGCACTGGGCCAGTCACTAGGAGCCCATGGTGACGCATACACAATCCCTGTCCTCAACGATATTAGAAACCTATTGTTGCCAAGGCTTAGTTTCTTCATCTATGAAATGGGGAAGCGGTGATAATGCCCTTGAGAGATCTGGAAAGCGCTTTAATACCGAGGCCTGCAAATGAGCTTTGCCTACAGGAAGGACCATGGGAATATTAGATTACAGTGGCAGCCCATGGCTTGTCATCAGATGCCACTGCAGCCCTGGGGGCTGTCTTTAATAGCAGATATTTTTAAGTTCCTGAACCCACTTCATGCTATATTTGCTCTCGCATGGAGGTTTATTCAGTGTTAATCACATTAATGTGCTGTTTCATTTCACACTGTGTGATGTGAACTTCAGCGAGAGCCAGAAGAGCAGAATTTACTCTCAAAGGGACCTCGTACTGTGCTTACCCAAAGGGCACCTTGTCAAGGCACCTCAGAGCCCAGTTGTCTGGGCCACCCCCTTGCTCCTCCAGGGGTGCCCTGAAGCCTTAAGAAGTCTGCCTTTTAAGTGTCTCTGTATTTATTGGTTTTTAACCCTCAATGAGAAACCCAGGCAAGTGTCTAGTTTTTCTTAGCCATCCTTAATGCTTAAACAGCCCAGACCTGTGCTACTCAGTATATGCTCCCCAGCACTGCTCGGAGGGGCCGAGTGTGTAGTTTGGAGGGTCTTTGAGATCTCCCAGTTCAATTTCCTCATGGTACAGATGGAGAAACTGAGTCCCAGAGGTGTGGAAGGACTTAAATCTCTCTTTTTGGCTCCTTCCCTAAACTGAAGAACTGCCTTCATTCAGATCTTGAACACATAACACATTCCACCGGTTTTTCTTTGGCCCAGTGCCCCAACCGGCCCTTCTCTGCTTGAACCTCCCACTGCCCTCCTGGCCCTTAGCCAAAAGCCTCAGATCCTACTCACTGAAGAAAGTGGAATCATCAGACAGGAAGGCCCCCCCCAGGTCATCCTCTGCAGCATGGCTGCCCCTCTGGACAAAGGCCACCCTCTGGGCACCTGCTCCTCCAGGCTTTTGCCCTGAACCCCAACCCCTTGCTGACATCATCGCCTTTTCCCCTTCCACAGGAACATTCCCATCAGCAAACATATGCTTTCATTTTTAAAAATGTATAAATTGTATAAAACCCTTCTTTAGCCCCTGCTTTGTTCACTCTTCCTTTTTCTAATTTATATCATTTCCCAGCTTTTTTTTTTTTGGGAAAAAAATAAGCCATCAAAAAGGCTGAAAAATATATTAAAATACCCGCCACCTAGATTTTTCCAGTTAGTATTTTACCACATTTGCTCTCGCTCTCTCTCTCTCTGTTCGTAGATGTTGAGTTTGTTATTGTGAACCACTGGAAAGTTTCAGGCATCCTAAATACTACACTAAATACCACAAGTTTGTCTCCTACCTCTGATTCTCTTACTACAGATCATTATCACACACAAGCAATTGAGCACTGATATGACTAATATTTTCTAATATAAAGTTCTTTTTCAAATTTTCCCATTTTGTCCCTCAAAACATCCTTCATAGCTATTTTTTTTTTTGAGACAGAGTCTTGCTCTATTGCCCATGCTAGAGTGAGTGCCGTGGCGTCAGCTTAGCTCACAGCAACCTCAAACTCCTGGGCTCAAGTGATCCTCCTGCCTCAGCCTCCTGAATAGCTGGGACTATAGGCATATACCACCACGCCCAGCTAATTTTTTCTATCTTTAGTTGACTTCTAATTTCTTTCCATTTTTAGAAGAGACAGGGTCCTCGCTCTTGCTAGGGCTGGTCTCAAACTCCTGACCTCAAGCAATCCTCCCACTTCGGCCTCCCAGAGTGCTAGGATTACAGGCGTGAGCCACCGCGCCCGGCTCGTCATAGCTATTTTTTAACCCAGAGTCCAGCCGAGGATGAGGCCAGGCACTGGTGATGGTGCTGTTTACTCTTCAGCCCAGGCCAGTTTAACCTCCAGATCCATCTCTCCACCCAGAGGGCGGTGGTCAAGGTCAGGGGTAATTTCCATTACCAAACCTAAAGGATCCTCCTCTGCCGCGGGGGGAGGGGCTCAACAGGGGCATTTTCCTCTGAGCTTCTGGGTTCCAGCACATTCCCCTTTCTTCCCTCATTGGTCCCCATGAACTCTTCTAGACCTGTGGCTTTAAACACCAGCTGTACGCAGATGCCACCTACACATCCAGCACCCAGGGCACCCAGCCCTGCCCTGGGTCCCCGCTCCAGACCGGGGATTCCACCGCCTTCTCGGCATTTCCACTTGGACGCCATGGGTGCCTCAGTGTGTCTGAACTGGAGCCTGGAAGTCGTCCCTTCCTATATCAGGAGTGGAGTGGCACCACCATCACCTGCCTCTACCCCTGAGTCCACACTGCCCCTCCGGCCCCTGGGGCCTGTCCGGACTCACCTCTCGCTCTGGCTCTGGCCAGCACCGAGGCCTGCGGCACCATCCCTGGTCTGGGTCCCGCCGAGGCCTTCAGGCCTGCTCACCACGCTCGCCCCACCCCCACGGCACCTTTGTAAAATGTAAAACAGATCCCGTCACTCCCTCCCTTAAAACCCGTCCTAGTCACAAGAAAGCATTTCATGGGCCCCGCCTGTCTCCCGCCTCCTCCACCATTCTCGGTAGGGACCCTCCCAGGCCTTTACCTCCCGGAGTGCGGAGACTTTCCCGCCTGGGGCTGTGCCTGCCCACCCTGTGCCTGCTGTCCCCTCGTGGTCCCCAGTGGCTGCCCTCTCCTCCGCCACCTCCCCAGCAGCCACCGCCCCTGAGCGCTCACAGCCGGGACCCCGTGCGCAGAGCCAGGCTGCCCTCCACACTGGGCCTGGGAAGGGGCTCCCGTTGGTTCGCTCCTGGCGCGCACACAGCCTCGTCCACTCTTCCGGACGAAGGCTGGGGTCAGGGAACATCATCCAGTCCGGATTCATTGTCGTAATAGTCATTATTATTTTATGCATTTTTCTTCTGATTTTAAAGGTAATTAAAACCATTTCCAGGGCCCCTAAAACTATCACGGGCCTAATGGAGCGGCGGACACTGCCTGAGGGCAAAAACTGAACTTCATGGAAAGCCAGAGGCTCTTACCTACCGCCTCTGCACTGCTCTCTGAGCTGGAAGAGAAGAAATGCAGGGCCGGGGTGGTGGTTCACCCCTGTAATCCTAGCACTCTGGGAGGCCCAGGCAGGAGGATAGCTCAAGGTCAGGAGTTTGAAACCAGCCTGAGCAAGAGCGAGACCCCATCTCTACTAAAAATAGAAAGAAATTAATGGCCAACTAAAAATATAACAGAACAAATTAGCGGGCATGGTGGCGCATGCCTGTAGTCCCAGCTACTTGGAGGCTGAGGCAGGAGGATTGCTTTGAGCCAGATGTTGAGGTAGCTGTGAGCTAGCTGACCCAGGGCACTCACTCTAGCCTGGCAACAAAGTGAGACTCTGTCTCAAAAAAAAAAAAAAAAAAAGTGCAGATCAATGCTTTCTGCTACAAATCTTACCAAGACTCACTATGTTTATTCTCTCCAGGCTAAAGTTGCCAAGGAACAAGCCATCAATGTAACTGCCAAACACACAACATATAACAAAATGTGCCTTAAGCAAATGAGTCTAAGAGTAAAGACCAGCCCACAGAGGTCGGAGATCAAAGCCCTTATCTGCAAGGGTGAGGATTGCCTTGTGGGGCCACTAGGGCTGTCAGGTTATCATGCCTGATTTCCAGCTGAAGACAGAATCAGAGGGCTTTGCTACACAGAGAACAAATGTTGATTCAAGGATTTCAACCCCAGTCTGTTCTCTCAGGTTGTTTTGGACACAGAAGGTTTGAGGTGCCTTCCAGGGGAGAGAGGTGTCTAGGAGGTATTTGGAAAAAGTAGTTCAAGGCTCAAGAGAGATCCTTAGCTCATGACACAGATTTGGGAATTATCCGTGTATTGGTGGCATTTAGAGATTCAAAGTGGATCAGCTCATTCACTCTTTTGCAGTCATGCAATTGTTTCTAGAACTGTTTCTGCACTTTTAAACCGTTCTGATCCAACCTGCTCCCCTGCTGGCTGTCCTCCCTGCTCCTGAGCGACATTTGGGGAGCGCCTCCTCTCCACAAGTGTGGGGCTTCCATCTCCAGCCCCACTATTTCTCACTGGATGGGATGACAGAACTTGACATTCTAAGTACTCACCCACCCAATAAATATTTACTGAGCGCCGTCTAGGTGCCAGCACCATTCTAGGTACTGAGGACACCACTATGAGCAAAGTAGACAAAGTCCCTGACGCTGAGGAGCTGTGAGCTAGGCTGACGCCAGGGCACTCACTCTAGCCTGGGCAACAAAGTGAGACTCTGTCTCAAAAAAAAAAAAAAAATTAAGAATTTCAAGTGGTCCAGTGCAAGAGGCTCACACCTTAAACCTAGCACTTTGAGAGCCTGACGAAGGAAGACTGCTTGAGGTCAGGAATTCGAGACCAGCCTGAGCAAGAGTGAGACCCCACCTCTAGTCAAAATAGAAAAATTAGCCAGGCATGTTGGTGTGTGGCTGTAGCCCCAGCTACTTGGGAGGCTGAGGCAGGAGGATCCTTTGAGCCCAAGAGTTTGAGGTTACAGTGAGCTATGATGATGCCACTGCACTGTAACCCAAGGGGCCGAGCTAGACCCTGTCTCAAAGAAAAAAAAAAAGAATTTCAAGAAAGGCAGGGACAGCAGAGCAGAGCATGAAGCCAAGCACAGCCAGCTGTAACTGGCTGAAGCCTCCGAAGCCCCTGGAGAGAACGAGGCACCAGAATCCCAGTCCCCCTTCACCCAGGCTGAGCCGAGCCTCACAGGCAGGGCCCTGCCACAGGGTAAAGGTGGGGGGCAGTTTCAGTCTTCTATTTTAATGTTGAAATTTGGACAATGTTGCAAAACAGATATAACTTTGTAGCTGATTTCATGTACTTTTGACAGTTCCATTACACTTCTGAGAGCTGCAGCATTTTCTTTTCCCTGGGAGGTTTGGGGTGAGGGGTGGGGACAGTGCTGTCTCCCCACCCCCTACCTGCGCCCCAGTAGGGAGTGGGGTGCACATCTGAGCATCTGAGCAGGTGTAACATTTTCCTTGGCTGGTACAGCTGGTTGAAGCCAAGAATGTGTAAACCTATATTTTATGTCAGATATCATTTATATCAAACCACCCCTCCCTAATCTAAGGCTAATTACCTCACGATTAACTCTAGTCGTCTGACCTTGGTAAACCATTTATCCTCCTTGAACTTCAGATTTCCTCATCTGTAAAATGGAGATAATTATATTTCACAGGGGCATTGTGAGGATTAAATATATGAAAAGCTTTTTAAAGAGTCTTAAGGTCTAAACAAATGCTAGCGAGTGTTAGTGCAGATCTGCTCAGCAGTTGCTTGGTTGGTGTGGATTGGGGATCTCAGCACAGCTACGGCTGGACGGAAACATCTCTTGGCGCCACCCAACTCATTGCGCTCTGATATATTCTGAACAGTCAACTTCTCATCTAAATTCAGTTTCTGGAGTAGCTTCCCTTCCCTTACCCGGGGAGATCCCCTTGGCTTGTCAGTTACATTTCAGATCACAGATCAATAATCCTGCTTTATAAGCCTGACTCTTGTGAGTTGAGCTGCCTTCATGGTTCTAATAGTCCCCAGATGAACTGAGAATCCAGACACTGAACAGGAAGCAGGTGATCGTTCCTGCTCCTTTCTTGGCACGTATTGCACTTGGGTAACATTAAGCAAGTGTGCTGCAGGCAGCTGCACCCATTGCAAGCGTTGAGCAGTGGTACACAAGCTTACATTTGCTGCGACTCAGCGTCCTGATGTTGCCGGGGTGGAGACTGTGGAGTCTTCCATGGTCCTCAGGCCTTGCACTGGCTGTACCTTCTGCCTGGAACATGTCCCCTGCGGTCTTTTTATTTTATTTTTTTTTTAATTATTTTTTTATTTTTATTTTTATTTTTTTGAGACAGAGTCTCACTTTGTTGCCCAGGCTAGAGTGAGTGCTGTGGCGTCAGCCTAGCTCACAGCAACCTCAATCTCCTGGGCTCAAGCGATCCTGCTGCCTCAGCCTCCAGAGTAGCTGGGACTACAGGCATGTGCCATCATGCCCGGCTAATTTTTTGTATATATATATATTTTTTTTTTAGTTGGTCAGTTAATTTCTTTATATTTTTAGTAGAGATGGGGTCTCGCTGAGGCTGGTTTCCAACTCTTGACCTTGAGCAATCCGCCCGCCTCAGCCTCCCAGAGTGCTAGGATTACAGGCGTGAGCCACTTCGCCCGGCTGGGGTTTTTATTTTTTAAGTTTTAATTTTTTAATGGCTCTTCAGGAGGCCTTCCCTGTCCCTTCCCCCATCAGAGCACACCTTTCCTCTGCTCCCTGCCCCTTTCTCTCCTCCCTACCCTGCTAGATTCTTCCTGGCACATGTCCACCTGGTACACGACTTACGGGTTTCTTGTTGGAATTTCCCCATTCAAATGCTATAGTTCCAAGAAAGTTGTGACTTTGTTCAGT